CTTTGGTGGCTTTGTGCAGGTCCGCCATGAAGCGGCAGATGTAGCTGTTGCTGCGCCGGCCCTCGGCGTGAAACTGCTCCCACAGGCATTTTTCAGCAAGGCGAAACAATTGGTGCTCCGGTGAGTACCTGGTGCAGTCCATGGAGCCAGAAATGGCTCAAGAATATTCGGACACAATGTGTCCTACTCACACGGGGCACCAAACTGAACCCAAAACGGCCACGGATGTGAAATCAAAGACATGAACATCCTCACGCTTTGGGGTTCAGGATTTGGTGCTACCAGATTGTCATTCATGACGCATGCGTAATACACGACATCGGAGAGAACTGCATGAGAATAGGCAGGCCGCAAAAACTTGTGGCGCGTTGTCATGGTAGTCAAGCATGCGCATTGCAGCTGCTGTTCTCTCGCAGGCCTGATGGCATGTCTCAGAAAACAGCCGAGTGAAGTTGTTGACTGCGCATGTCTGCCATGCTCCTGCCTCGACAACCTTCTGCTGGGCTGAAGTTATGTTGGGCGCGTTTCCCATGCGGATCCAAATGCCGACCTGTCATTGTTGCATGTTGTTACCTGACCCTTGCTTGGAGCTGCTATCTCGCCATCTGTTGACCCAATGAGTAAATGATGTTTACGATAAAGCAATGCTTCCCATGCTCTCTTCAATCCAAACCAACCACCAGTAGCGTGCGTTTGCTGACCTGTACAGCAGGCCCCGAATGCAGGTGCGCAGGTCAACTACGCCGTTGGTCCACGTTGAAAACTAGACTTAAGCTAACTGAAGCTTTTTGGTGGACAACCCCTTACAAAATAAGAACAACCACAACAATTGCCAAGAGAGGCAAAGCATCCAGCAAAGTGCGTTCTGTAACAAGCTACCCTGCGATTATAACTAGTAGCATGAGAGAGTGATATTTGTTTACTGCTGTGGAATCTCCAGCCCCCGCCCCTCCCCCCACCTTGTCCCCTCCCTCCCTCTCCTCCCCTTCTCCCTCTGCCGCAGTCCTACACCCAAGCTTGAAATCATCTTTCACCTTAACCTTGAACCTTGCCTAACCTCAATCCTCAACTTCTTCGACTTTTGTCTCCTTCAGCGCTAGGCCCGACAGCAAGCTGTTTCTCAGCGCATGCAGAGCAAAGGAAAGAGATCTCCGGTATCTTTGGCAAGACGCGCGCGCCTGATTGTCATCGGGCTAAAGGTCATGTGCAGATTTTTGAAGCTTCTTTGCTCTGTGGTGAACTTTGTGGAGTCTGACATGCCCTAAACCCAACAGAGCTCTGCGCGCTCACTGGCAAAGGACATCCAACTCTGCACCGCATGTGCCATCGACAGGGGCAGGCCTCCAAACCATAATATACTACAATATACTAAAACATACTACAGTATCTGTTGTTCAAAGGCGATTTTTCTGGGGTCCGCTGCAACTGTAGCGTGAAGCTCCGCACCCCTCCACCCCGGCCTGCTTGGGTTGACTGAAAGCACCATGACCGCAGAACCCAACTGATGCGGGGAAACCTAGATGCAGAAACAGAACTATACGGGCTCTTTTACTGGAATGGCATGAGTCAAATGTGACCCCTTCAGGCTCAAAAGGTCAGCCCGATTGCAGTCACATGTCAGGTGTCCCGCCATCTGACATGAGGTTCAAGTGCTTCCGTCCTTCCTCTCTTCCCTGCTTCCTGCTCACGCCATGCCGCTCGCGTCTCATCCCCTCCCCTCTCCTCATCTCCCCAACCTGCCTACACACTGCCTCCTTCTACTCAGTCTTCCCTCCCACCCCGAGACGACCCCAAAATTGAGGATTCTTCTGAGGATTGCCACTCCAGCCAACTCACAAGATACAGCCTTCGGCTCTGCATGAGAGGAAACTAGGCAGTATTAGTGCTCCTGGTGCTTTTGGATCTTTAGGCCAAGGTTTATAGATTCAGGTGTCCCCAAAAGCTTCGTTTCCAGGTTTATAGAGATGCAAGCGAATGACGACAGGCACGAGCATGCAGTGTGAGCGGCGCATTTCTGCCTAGGGAATTCCTGCAAGCGGTCGCATCTTGAAAAGGATTGGCATGCAGGCAGCTTGCAGAGGCCACGAGGGAGGTCGCTAGGTGGCTCTTCGACGTGCTACTGCGACCTGTTGAGAGTAGTTTCACAGGAGGCTCTGCAAAGCTATCACCTTTGCATTGGAATCCCAAACATGCTGAACACTGCATGAGCGCAGGCCTGTTGCAGAAATTGCAGCCAACGTTCCAGGCTGCGAGCTTTGTTCACTAACATTTGCCTGATGTCTGTTTGCGCACCTGAGCGGCATGCACAGAAAAAACAAGGAGGTCTTCGAAACTCTCCTGAATTGCCGCCTAAGAAGATGACCTACCCGCTTCGGGCTGGCGCCTGCGTTCAGCAGCTGCAGAGTCCGTTGATCGACCTTCCCCCCATGGACAATGTTGAGATATTCGCTGCGTCCCGCATTTTCCCCACATTTTGAAACTATCTGCTGCTACAACTTAGACGAACTGCTGCCCAGTCGCTGCAGCGAGCATTGGCTGGGCTCCGACTTGTGAAAAGGCTCGCACGGAAACCGACACGGCCTGGTCCTTCAGGGGCTGAGGTGTGCTTGAGGTGCAGGTAATGGTTAATGGCAAGTTCGGATGCCTCTCGACCAGCATCGAAAAGATCGTAAGCCATCTGTATGAAAGCATCGGCTGAGGTTGGCTGGTGTCCATCAGCGTCCTCCTTGTGGCATCGCATCTGAGTCAACACACCTAGCTACATCAGAAGGGGATTGGCAGGCACCTTGTCGGCAGCTGACATGTCCTGCAGCAAACAAACTAACACATCTACGGTACCACACGCCTCTCCACGCAAGGCCTGGGGACAGCTGAGCAAGCCGTAAGGTGTCAGGACCTCGCGCAAGAAGTCGGGCCCACTTCCAGATTCTAGATTCAAGATATTCGAGGTATCTTGAGATATTTGAAGGTGTACGCAGTCACACCATGTACGGCGCAAGAAAGTCAATGACAAAGCTCCCGGTCGCCTGCACATGACCAGCGCTGATGCCTTCTGGGATCAAGGAGAGGCCTTGTCAGGTTCGAACAAGGATCCACACATCAGTGTCCGAGCATCACAGAGCGCTACATGGCACAGAATCACGCTGAATCGCCTAAAATGCCGCAATCCACGATTTGACTGACCTCAAGCTATGAAACTGGCCGCACTTCTGACACCTCATCCTCCTTGCAGTTTCTGTGAGATCCTCACGCCAACCTGTAGACACTGCGCCGCAGTTCCAACCATGCAGATGGCAGAGCGCTCATCCCCTTCCACCTGAGGACTCCAACTGTTCAGTCCTTGCTGTAAAGCAGTGTCTGTCACATGTAGCATAACGACAGTCACAGGTCACAGCTTCAAGATGCCCCACGTTTGGGCAGCGCCTTCACAGCACACACGGCGATGTCACCAAAGGCAGCTACGAAGCCAGGTCCTGCAGAAGACGCAAAGGCTGCAGTCCGACCGGGTGACAAGCCACAGGTTGGGTCCCTCTCCGGGAGCAGGCGGTCCAACAACCTCTCCCTGAGCCAGTGCACATTTTGTGAGATGCGAGCGATGCACTGACATGAGGCCCGGCTTGCTCGAGCGAAGACTGTGGACAAGCTGTGTGAGCCGGCCAGGTGAGCCCTGAGCAAGTCGAGAATCTGCAAACCATGCAGCGTATGAACTTACAAGGCAGTGACGGCTCAGCAAGGATGCTTGCTCGCCCGTTCTGGTGTCCTGTTCTTTCCACACAGGCCGTCAAGCTTCATGGCATGCCCTGGCTGCAAGGTTCCTTGCCAGTATATAGAATCAGTAGCGAGTCGCCAGAAGCTTTGCCGTTGCCACTGTGACCTTTTGCAGGCTCTGACAAGATGTGACAGGACATGGAGATGCGGGGATACCAGTATGGCACGGGCAGACCGACAGAAGCCGCGTAGATGGCTCGCCTGCTACCTAGCAGGCGTCTGGGCTGTGAGCCTGCTGTGGGCCTGCTGTGGGCTTGGTGAATTCTGAGTTGGTAGCCAGTTGCGCCAGAGAGGCTGTCCAGGCCAAGTCTGCAGCCCCCACAGAACCTGGAATCATTGACATAGGAACACAAGTGGCCAACCCCGCTAACAAGCCAGCTAAGATCAGCGGCGCGGGTGTGTGTAGTATGCTAAGCGCTCCTGTCAAATACAGAAGACAAATCTTCGCCCTCCATTTACCTGGCAGTCCTGATTCCAGGCAAGGGTGGCGAAAAGGCTGCTTGAAGAGTCTGCCTCGGAGATGCGCCCCAGAGCACGTGAAAGCTTCCAATAGCGGATGACGTCAAGTTTCAAGTTGTAAGGCTAAGGATGCATCCTCGACAATCTCAAGCTTCTGAGCCATGAATGGTATCTCCTCTGCTAGGTGTAAGTAACACATTGCTGGGCGAGGCTCAACATGGATCGACTCATTGTCCTGTCCTCAAGATGACGGTCTTGAGACACGTCTGCACCAGTCCTGTACCTCATCCAGCGGCGCTATGCAGGGATGCTATAAGGATTATTTATATCGGGACTATTATATTTTCCCTACTAATCACAAGCAACAGCATTCGAAAACAAGGCCTCACCTCCTTACTCTCTTGAAGAAGTTGTAGAGGCAATGTTCTGACACCGTTGGCCACAGCTTGCTAACCTCAGCCTGCAGCAGGCGCTGATACTGGAGGACTGCAGCCCTCCGTCTGCTCCAGCAAGTATGCTCAAGATTGGTCAATAAACCTTCGAGCCTTGAAGCTGTTTCCTTCCTGTGACAAGAAGATGGAAAGCAAGCGGCCGTTTTGAGTACCGACCTGTCTTTCAGCTGCTAGAAAACGTGCTTCATACATGGATTTAGGGAGACCGAGTGCAGGGCAACCAGGACCACCCCCACGCAGCCGCGGCCAGGGTGCGCCGCCGCTGAGTAGACGAAGGCCGGGACCTAGCAACGGCTCAGCCTCTGCATCAGTGCTGCCGAGCTATGCGGTGGCGTGGCACCTCCTCCAATGGCACTCCAGCAGGTGCTGCCCTGCAAACAGCCAAAAATGGGATCATCGAAGGGCAGTGTCAATGACCATACAGCCGGGCCCCGAGCAAATCCACTCGGGGTCCATTTGGGAAAATGGACATTCGCCAGTCAGAAACTTAGCCAATGCGTCAGACATACAAACTTTCTGCAGGACAGTATAAAAAGTGACGCACACAGAGCCGCCGCAGTTGGTTTGTGGAGAGGGGTAGAGCCCTGAGACAAGCTGCAGTCAACTCTTGGTACGGTCCAACAGAGGCATGCTATCCTGCTTAAAAAGAAGCTGCTGTACGGCGGCGCGCCTTCTGAACTACTCCAGTGAGGGGGGCCACGCAGGCTGCAGCCAATCTTGCGCCCACAGGTAGTGCCTGAAGCAAAGCACCAGCATAATGCAGGCTTGCCAGCATTGTTTTTGATGTTTCTCAACGATTTCACTTTATGCTTTGAGGGTGGTGCAAAAGCAGCGCATGGAGGCCAATGCCTCAGTCGCGGCAGGATTGGTGACTGATGCTGCTAGCTGCTGAAGCCGCTTTGCATCGAAAGTTGATTCAGCGGTCAATGCAGTTGACGGAGTGCCGAGCCTATTAGACGGGATCACGCCATCACTGGCCAGCATGCCCCCCTGCAACACTGCCTTTTGAAATCCGGCAGCTTTTCCGGCACGATCCGCTGAGAGACAGAAGCAGGAAGCAACTAGTGACTCAGAGACTGGGGCAGGCTCGTCCAGCACGCCTGACAAGGTTTGTGGACGCAGCTGATTATGGTCCCACCCAGCTCTTGGACCATCTCTTGCCGCCCCCCTGCCGCAGCAGAGCTGTGATTTGGTCTTGTCGCGTCTGCTCGGCTATAGCCAAAGGGGTGTAGAATCCCGAGCGGATATTCGCATCGACTCCAGGTGCCTCAAGGAGGGCCTCTACCACGTCTGCATGGCCGTGCTCGGCTGCTGCATGCAGCGCAGTCCAGCCACTGCTGTTTGCGTTGACATCGATAGTAGGTATCTTGAGCAACGTCTTCAGGATCTCAAGTCTGCCTTTCTCTGCTGCATATTGAAGCGGTGTCCCTTCCACAAAGAAGCATTTTAGGTTGACATCAACTCTCGGCAGGGCCAGAACCAGTTCTAGCAGCTCGACATCTCCTTCCTGGGTAGCTGCGCGCAAGAGCTTCCCGGTGAAATCAAGGTCTGCCACCAGTTCCTCTCTGAGGGCCTGAACCTTCTTCACCGCGGCTCTGAAGCTCTTGGCGGCTTCCAGGCTGACCTCAGCGCGGGCTGCAAGAATAGAATTCTCAATCTCTTCAGACTCCTTGGACTCCTGCTGCAGAGTCAAGGCCAACACAGACTTGAGATCCACATTCATCCCTGGCATCTTGAGAAACATCCTGATGAGTTGCACCTGTCCATTGACGGCTGCCAGCGCCAACGCCGAAAATCCGTCAGAGGTACAGGCATTGAGATCTATGCCAGGTGTTGACAAAAGCAATTCTGCAACAGAGGCATGACCATACTCTACTGCCACATGCAGAGGCGTGCGGCTTCTGCTGGCACGCAGGTTCAAGTCCACACCAGATGTCTGCAAAATTTGCCTCACCATCCTTGTGTTGTTACGCTGTATCGCAAGGTGTAGCGGCGCAAAACCGACACCACACTTCGCACCACTCAGGTCCCTGTTTATGTCCAGAGAAGGGCATCTGAGCATCTTGGCGAACAAGCTTTCCTCCAGTTCCGACTCTACAGCGATGCGGACGGATCGCATATCGATCTCGATAGCTGGATGAGCAAGGAGCAACTCCGCAATATGCTCTTTTTTGCTCATCAGGGCAATCGTCAGGGCAGTATCCCCACTGTCAGACTTTGCATTGACATCTGTTCTCGCATCAGCAAGCAGAAGCTGCAGAGCCTCACCCTGTCCCTCCCTCGTGGCGAAGAGAAGCGCTGTGAATCCTATTGACGTGTCATGCGCATTCACATCTATGTCAGGCACAGACAAAATCAACCGCAGCACGTCGACCAGGCCGTATTCAGCAACCAGCATGATGGCAGTTTTGCGGTTCAGCAGGCGATTGATATGCTTGACATCAATTGTGAAATCTAGCTTGCACCGTGCCTTCACGCAGCTTAATCCTGCAATTGCATGTCGAGGCGTGAACAGAGAAGGATGTTCTCGAAACAGTTGAGCCAAGGTCTCGTCCATATTCTTGATGAGGCGTGTAACCACGGTTTTGTCTCTTGCTACCGTTGCTTTGAACTTCTCTTCCGTGAGCAGATTGGCCGCAACTGCTGATGTCGTAGCTGCCCAGGCTTTTAAGACCTGCTCCTGAATCTTGCTTTCTTGCCCCTCATGGCTCTGCATGCATGCAAAGAGCGGCCGGTGATGTTCTGCCAAACTTGGGGTCAACCCCAGTATTGTAGGCGTCTTGCAAGCCACAAAAAGCTCAGCGGCCGGCCAGAGCTTGTCATCAAAGCCATCATCCCAAAGAACCACAACAGTCGCACCAAGAAATAAATTGGGAAGGCATTGTTCGATGGCTTGCTTGACGATGAGCTCGTCTTCTTTGCAGAAATGCTCATACACTCCCTCGTCATTCCAAGGCTGAGGAACACATATAAAGTCAAGCCAAATATACTCGATCCATCGGCACGCCTCGCTTTCAAGGACCTCCTTCAATCTCGCAAGCTTCAGCCCATCTGGGTCGAAATGCTTCTTGCTCAGCCAAACATGGCTGATTGCAGCTGTTGATCTCTTCAGCTCGCCGGTCACGATGCTTTGAAAGCTTATGCTGCGCCATTCCAGAAGCTTCCTGTCCTTTAACATTTGATGTGGTGGACATCGCTTTGGCAGTTTCAAGAAGTCTTCTTTGCCTGAAGCTGCAACTCCAGTACACAAAAGAATGATTGTGATCAAAGTTTTAGGCTGAACCAGTTTGAAGTTTGGCGGTGTGCAGCGTGGTTTGTGCAACCTGGAAAGCTGTTGAGCGGCATTTACCTCTGCGACAAGCATGTAACCATTGAGTTATTTACCAACTGTTAGAGTAAGCTGCACTTTTCGCTTCTAGGTCCAAGCTTGTAAGAAGGTCAGTTATCAAACACGTTGCAGCGGGGCATCCGAACATGCTATCACGTGGCTCCATTTTCGGTCTGTCAGGCTCCTTCCGTAATCTCCCATGCCCTGCGCGCTGCCTGTCTGGGGAATCGATTTTCTAGAATGTTACGTTGACTGCATATTTGCGCTCTTTTTCGAAGAGTCTGGCTTTTGTATGAACCTGAAATGCTTCAAGACTAGTTAGGATTCACTACACGCCACGAAACCATGGAAAGAAACAAACTCTGCTAGACGAGCCACTGACACCCTGTTTGAGCTCATCGTTCACTTGGTTTGGCAAACACGCATTGGGCACTGCAGAGTGTAGGACAGCCCGTTTATCCCATTGCAACCCACCAGCACCAGCACATGATCGAATGCAACAAAAGCCCAGAACGAAAATGTGAAAATATGTCATGCAGCTGGTATCAGATGGTGAACGTTACATCAACACCAAGACTTCAATCTTGTGATGCTGGAACACACTGAGACCCAGCCGCTACCGTGGCAGTCTGGCTCAGACTTGAGACGTATGCGCAGAATATCTATTTTATCAGGGTTACTTCATAGGCTTTGTGTTTGTAATCTCACTTCAAAGGCTTCTGCCAGTTTGGAGCACAAATGATGCATGTCGACACCGTCTGCCTGAGAGGTTCCACAGCAAGTCAACAGGAAATGCATCTCCAAGGACAGGACAGGAAAAATGAGGCAAATGCCAAACACGCGGAGTCCATGTCTAAGGACTGACTGAAGGGTGCGAACGGCTTCGCTTACCCCACGTGCGCACAAAGGCCATGCGTTTGCACAATTGGCTCTGCTCACAATCTGTCTGATCATGCGCGCACGGGCTGCGCATAAAGGGATGCTAGCAATATCTGAAAGGCATGCATAAAGAGCCATCAGAATTGAATCGATCTTGGTCCACGGGTCTTCCCATTTTCCATGCGTGCTCGACATCTGGCGTTGTCAGTCTGGTCAGTCTAGTTGACTGGTCGTGTCACGTATGAGTTGTGTCCATGAAGGTCCTGAAAAGTGGAAGATTCTGGAGAAAGTCAAGAGCCGCTCAAGTCCACAAGTCTCTTGACATACAAGAAAAATGTGACGGTTTCCAGGACATCAATTCAAAGTCGGCCAATCCCAATTAAATTAGTCCTGCTATAGAGATCATGCGACCATGCTGGCTGTCGCAGAAAAGAATTTGCTGCTGAACTTTGAGCTAAGTGGCGAAGAAACCAGAACCCTGCTTCGGTGCTGATGTCAGATGCAGTTGCAGTTGCGCTAGGGCTGGGGATGATAGGAATTGCCGGTTGCACAGGCTCAGCATCCCCAACCGCTTCCACCCAGGCTTCCAGCTGGACCTTGCAGCGGCCACCTCTCCTTTCAGTTTTAGCTGCTTCACGCAGCTTGGCCTCAGAGATGTATCTACAAATGTCTTTGCCAGTTGCCTCGAAAAAAAGTGGTATCCCATTCGCAAGCGTTGCCATGGCTTTGGGACAATTGGAAATTTCGAGCGGCCAGGAAGCACTAGGCTAACTGCGACTTGAATTCGAAGCATTCGCACTACAAAGTCTGCAAGCTTGGGCACGGTACCAGAAACTGCAAAAGAGATGTAAGCGCGGCGCTGTCCTGGGAACTGGAAGAATAACACATCAGAGTCCTGCAAGCGAATGCTGACAGCACTAGAGTCACTAGTCACCAGAGTGCTTTGCAATACAAAGCAGTCAGCAACATGTTGCATCCCTCCTGCACCAGCCACCACAGGCCTTGACCTGGTGGGCGACTCAATGCAAGCTGCTCTGTTTACGTCACAGTGTTTGACATATACACACATCACGGGAACAAGGAGCACGGAGTAGGCATCTGGGTAAGTCATGGGTACGTTCACTGTAGACCTTCTCTCCAGCGAAGTTGCCTCTACCGTTTTGTTCTGCTGTGTCTTCGACGTTCTCTGGGCTTCCTTCGCCTTCCGCTATTGCCTTCTTCTGATGGCCGACAACTCTCTCTACGCTTGGCTTACTTGAAGCGGCTCACTGCATTCTTGAAGAAAAAAGTAAAACCTAGCAATCCCTTTGCAATGTCTCTTTTGATGTCGCCTCAAGCCTCCATTGAATAAGAAACTCCTTGCCCTGATCACAGCTGACCACCAAAACTGACCGCACAGTCCTTCAGGCCACGGATCACAAGGACAATCTTAGTGCTGTGTTGCACATCTGTTGAAGTTTACTCTGGCTCTTTCTGCGCCTTGGCAGACATGCTGCACATTGTGTGCTCCATTCCAGTTGAACAGCAATGACGCGATGCTGACATCATGCAGGACCTGGGGGTTTCGGAGGCCTTCTCCTGCTTGTGCTTGCCTCACGTGCAATATGCAGTTATGCGCTCTCGCGTCCTTCCAGGCTCGAGCCTTGAGGGTTCCCCCCGCACGTCAGAGTAATTTGAAGACTTTCGAGCAGCGAGGGTGTCGGACAATCGTAGCTTCAAGACCCAGAGCATTCACAAAGCGTAGAAGATACGGTTGATGCGTGCGCACGCGCAGCTTGGGCCCTTGAGCGCCTGCACCAACGGCCGGCCTTGCGAAGGCTCGTGCCCAAGTAGCCACGTGACCTCCCAACCACATTTGCCATGCCTCACGCCGCTCACAGCCTGCCTACTCCCCTTCGGGCTCGTGGGGTTTCATGCACAATCAACTTGCATGCTGTGCGGCTTATCAACCAAGCCATCTTCTGCCTCTCTGTGCCATTTCCAGCATGAATCGTGCGATCGGGTCCACACCTGCCGAAATGGCTGGCGTGTATGATCCTGTACGTATTCGTCGAATCTGTGATGTTTCATTTGGCTTTTCTTGTCCCTGGAACTAAGCTAGCCTGGGGCCTGGGGATGTCAGAGGCCTTCTCACAGGGATAAGGCCTTGCTCGGCAGCAGTGGGGTCCTAGTGCAAAACGAAAAAAAGTTCCTTGTGTCGTCTTGTCATGGTCCCCAGGATCTGAGCGGCTTACAGTCAAGAACCTGAGCCGTCGTGATTAATTTGGTCCGAGAGGAAGCTGTGCAATCCAACGACAGCAGTCTCACATGCAACATTGCAATGTTCTGTGGGATTTAGAAATGAACAACAACTGATCTGGCTGCCATCATCCAGCATCGCTGCATCCTCAGGGCACTGAGCAGAGCACTGGCGTCAGTTCCGACAGCCTTGGGGGAGAGTGGACCGCGGGGTCTCAGCGGTATTCCTGGCGCGACAAGTGGGCCGCCACAGGCTCACCAGGGTGCAGTACTGCTATGCCTTCATCATCTCCAGCAGCATGAGCCGTGCTTTCGCCCGGCGACTCTGCGACCTGGGCTGCAAACAGCAAACAGTTACAGAGCTGACATATCTTGCGATGTTGTGCCTCCCAGCATCTATGAGACAGCTCTGTTCCCAGTTAGGTGTAGGATTTCAAATGGTTCAAACAAAGCTCTTGACTGCAGCAAGCCTCTGGCTGTCATTACTCCAAACGGCCTTCCGTATATCAAGCTGAGTTCTGGAAGCTCTTCTTACCTTGAGCTGTTTCATGTACAAAGAGCTATTTAAGTCCGGGGCTGGGAGCAACGGAGCGGACTCAGATGCCTGACGTGCCTCCGACCTCATCCACCCACTCCTGAGAAACTCAGCTGCAGCTTAGAAGCTTAGCTCCATGACTTTGAATTCCTAGTACAACGGGAGAATCCAAGGTATTTTCTTTTTATGGTTTGGATATGGGTCCCGATACGATTTGGGGATACAGTTCGATTCACTTTCACTATGATTTGCATAACCCCCACAATACAAGGTTGCATCGCTCAAGATCGCCAGAATACACTTTGAATACAGTTCCAATACAATTCGCTTTCTGGGGAATACAGAAAAATGTGAATGCACTACACCTTGTAATACATTGCGCCCTTTGATTCGAATAAATAGCTGGCGACTGCAGAAAGAAGGTACAGGTAGCAGTCAGCACAAACCAGTATTAAAGTCGCATTCGACTCGTATTAAAAGCGCATTTTTCTGTGGCAAGCTGTATTTTCCCCGGAAAACTAGGATTTTAATACGATTGGAATACGATTTAAATGCTACCGGGGCCTACTAGCAGGAGTGTTGACTGCTCTGGCAAGCAAATTGCCTCCAAATCGTACTACAATCGCATTAGAGTCTTACTCACATCGTATTGAAATCGTATTAAAATCGGATTTTCTTGTGGAAAACTGTATTTCCTTGAAGAAAAACACGATTTGAATACGATTTAATGCTACCAGGGCCTACTGGCAGGAGTGTTGACTGCTCTGGCAAGCAATTTCCCTCCGGATCATATGAAATCGTATTCAAATTGTATTCGAGTCGTATTTAAATCGTGTTTTCTGGGGAAAATTGTACTTTCCTCAGAAAAATACGATTTGAATACGATTTTAATACGATTTGAATGCTACTGGAGCCTACTATCTTGGATAGCTTGAGGCCACCCTGCAGCAAGACGGCAGAGAATTGCTGAAACTGCTGTGCAGCACTTGGGAGTGTATTAAAATTGTTTTCGGAACCGTATTCCAACCTGTATTCCAACTTGCATCCCATCCTATATTGAAACTGCATTCAAAGTGAAATGCAAACCACATTCCAGACTGTGTCTGATGCTGTATTCCAGGTACAAGACAGTGGCTGAAGCGTATTCTCCAATCGTATTTCAAATGTATTGAAACCATAAGAAGAAAACAATCTTGGGGGCCCTTGCTGTATTATAGTTAAAAGTCATGGGCTTAGCTGACAAGGCTTCAACTGTTGCCCCCTGTCTCTCCATGAAATGTCATGACAGTGGATGCCACGGCATGTCATAGTGCCAACTCTGAGGCTGGTGCAAGAAGTCGAGGTTGAGTTCCATGTCTGGGTTGCTGCGGTGTCCAGGGGAATACAGGGGAATATGCAGAAATCTGTGTAGGGTACCATGAATGTTTGACAAAGACTTGCAGTTCATGTGGAAGCCTGCCCAAGTTGATGAATCGATGTTCTGCAAGGCGATGCTGTGCATGCTGCGGCTTCGCACATTTTGCACGACAGCCATTTGATTTCATGGGTGTTGGAAGCTTGGCATCCTTGCCACTACTGAGCCGCTACTGCTAGTCGGCAGCTGCAAGTCAAAGCATGGATAACAACATGCAAAACCGAGCACACCGCACGCATGGCAGCGGCAATTCCTTTTCGTATGAGGTATGGACAGAAGGCTGCAGCATGGTGGAGCTTCTGCTCAAATGTAAGCTCTCCTTGTGCTCTGGTTTCCAAGGCACTCAGACGTTGGGTTTTGCTCTCTCTCTCTCTCTCTCTCTCTACAGCGAGGAAACCAGAATGCGCTCGGCGCGCCACTAGCTCTGTATATGGGCAAAAGGACAATATCCAAGTTTCAAGTAATTCAATATGCAATCAAGAAGGGCTAATATCAATAGAACACACTACCTTAACTACAGCAACGGGCAAACGTTGTGGGAGGACCAAGTGTCCCAGCCTCCACGTGATTTGAATCTGCAGCTCTAGGAGCAGTGCCGTCTGAAGCGTGGCAATTCGTAGCACGCGGCCACGGATCAATACAACAGAGACATCTTTGCACAAGTATGCCATCACAGCACATGGCTGGCTTCTGCGAATTCCATTCTTGAAAGTTACAAATGGTGGCAGAGCCACTCATCTGCACCCTTCAACATCATGATTTTTGGTGAGCGTAATGCTTCACGCATGATGTCAATCCTTATCGCTAGAGTGCAACAAACGGCTGGGGCAACTCTACTCGATGCTGTTGAAAGAGCTGAAATTAGCAACATGGCCTTGTTGCACTCAGTGATCCTGTGGTACCATGTTCACTGCCAGTCAGACTGGCGCTGAAGTCCTGTTGAAAAGAGGAAGCTGACTCAACGGTTTGACAAGCTGGTGCCCTTGTGCCAACATCCAACCAGCAAGATTTCACTAGCATTGCTCTACGGCTGGGTAGCTCTTGGAACGATGAGGTGATGTTTTCCGCTCTGTACGGTGCTTTGTTCATGAGCAGGAATCAATGCCGCGGCGAAACCAACATTGCCTTCCAGTCTTTGGACTGCTGCCCTCATTTCCTGCTTGGTTGGGCCGGACATGCGCTTTCTCATTCACGTTTCCTCCCTGCCCTGCCTGCAGTTGTCACAAAAGGAAACCTGGCTGCACTTCACAATGTCCCCACCTCAAAGCCCTCTATTCTGTCTTCTTTCGAAACACGACGGCGACGGCTGCTTGAATCAAGCCCACCGAGCCGTGCTTGAGTTCAAGCCGCACAGGGCCATGTGCAGGCTCCTGAGCCAGGAATCGGGAACCTCCCGGGCTCAGGGCTGAAAAGGCAGACCGCCTCCTAACAACGCAAACGTTACCAGGGCTAGCTGCATGATGCCGTGTTTAGGCATCACCTGCTGTAAAACTCCGTCGCAACCGGCGCAGTGAAACTGTCCAGACAAAACCTCACATGAACAGAGGACCTCCCTGCAGCGATCGGGATTTTTGTCCCATCTGCGCATGCGCTCATGAGACATCAAGGCGAGAGGTGCCTGAGTTTTGGCGACGTTTTGACCCTAGCGAGTGGAATTACGTTCGCCTCAAAGGCTTGAGGTCCCCGGATGGCCCATTCAAGCCTTCTACCTACCCCACCCTCCCTCGGCGCCCTGCCCTTCCCCCCTTTCTCCTTGTTTTGATTAATGATCAGGGTTGAGGCTGCCTGAATTCGACCATGGCTATTACCAACCTACCCCTCCACCCGCGACTGCAGAGGCGTCCCCGCCGGATCAATACGAAGGTCTGCGGCTTATTCCTCCTTGCTGTTTCTTCCGCCATGCTTTGTTTTCATTCTAAGTTGCGGCAAGCTTGGGAACGGATTGGACCTCATCTGCCCCTACAGGGCTTTCAGAAATGGACCATGTGTTTGGCTCGCATTCAAGGCTACCATGGTAAGGTGTGCATTGCAGCCTTGTAAAACTTTCGAGAGGACAAGATAGGCGGAATCTATGAAGCATGATTCAATCGAACCTACAGCTTACTGACAGACTTGAATCTGTGCCGCATTGATATTATAGAAGAACGGACGACAATTTCTCAAAATTGATACCTTCTTAGATGCAAAGGTATGGGCCCTTGTTCACTTGCTCTGCAAAACGCATCCTGGAGGTCGCCGCTGCGTCTTAGGATGCCGAATGCGCGGAGCTCGGATTGTCTTGGTGGGCGGCGGAAAGTCGATTCGCTCCCCGTTGAGAAAGACCACGGGCTGTCAGGGCCACGCAGTTCCATGTGGCTAAAGGAAGAGTTGTTTGGCATCGCACCTTGTATTCATCGGGCATGCTTGGATGCATGACAGGACCTGCTGCACGTGAGAGACCGACCAGTCATGCCCTGCACCCTTTGCAAGCTTTGACTCAAGAGGCGGCTGTTTCTGTACCGCTCAATGTGACCAGAAAGACCTCGATGAGGCCTGAGCACAAATGCATTGGAGTACCTTGCTAAAATCAAGCGTCTCTGCTCTGCTGCTATGCTCTGCTTACTTCTGTACGTTTGATGAAGCAGGATCCGCTACAAGTAACGCAAACAAGCTCTGTTGAAGTCAAAATGTCCAAAGTAAACACAATCAGCATGCTGGCTGTCATCTTTTACATAGCTGAGAACGCGACTGGCTCCAGGACGCTTCACAGCGTACACTGCTGTCTACGCCGGGAAAAGAGCACCCCTTCAGGCAGAGATTGCTGATAAAAAACAGCTTGCCTGCAAGATGTTGCCATGGAGTAGCATTATAATACCCCCCCTACGGCCTAACAGCGCCAGCCTCCCTGCATTCCTGCTGCGCCTGCATGCCTCCCCTGCTTCTGCCCTACTGTCTTCCTGTATTTCTGGCTTCCCCAGTGTTCAATCGTCACTTGGCGCAGTGCGCCCTTCATTCAAGCCACGGGCACGTACAGGGCCAGCAGCTGATGATAGTAGCAAAATTGAAGCTACATACGCAAAAAGCTTTTGAAGCTTCGAGAGCGAAGAGCTTAGTCATGCTTAGTCAATATAAAGCCAGCAGCTCCTGAAGTTGCTCGAGAAGTTGCTGAGCATCTTCATGACTCACGAGTCCCACCAGAGCATACCTTAGCTCACTATTGGAACCATGCTTCACTATAGTTCAGACAAGTACCTTCTGTCGCAATTAAACGTAGTGCGGTTGGAAATTACTCGCATCAGCAACATACTGAGTGATGGGATTTCGTTCAGAACTGATTGTCACTCAGAAGAATGTGACATCCATCATCCTCAGAAGAACTTCTTCCAGTGCAGCCGGAGAGCCCCAAGCTGCGGCCTCTGGTAAAATCTACCGGCAGGTAGACGAAGTCATACCTGACCAGCAGTCACAATGATTCTTTCCTAACGATGATGAACAACAGCCAACTGCAAAGTGACACTGGCTGGGGGCGATCCTGCCATGGAACCCGGCCCGGTCGAGCAAGTCCAGGATATTGCTCCGAGCGTACCTTCAAGTGTGTGCGTATGCTTGATGATTGTCAAGAAGCAGAGGGTATTTGCCGAGCATGCTGAGCCGGGCACTCCTGAGGCACGTTTCGAAGCATGACCTTGACATGAAGCAATAAACCCTGAGATGTCTTGGGGTTGGTCGACTTTCTGCTATGCCCCCGCAGCATGACAGGGATCACAGGGACCCAAGGAGTGAACATTCTGCTTCCATATCTGATGCTCTTGACAGGAATGGCACCACGTGCGCTGGGCAGCATCACACTTGATTTTTTACGGAGGTGAAGACCACACTGTTGAATCATAGGCTAAGCAGCTAGGTCGCGCACAGTCATTCTGTCAGCATCTGCAATGACGTCGCCTGCTTGCAGTCGAGTAAGGCTAGCTAAGCGGAATCGGACCTTCAGCTCATACAGGCCACATGTGAGCTACAGTCAATTGAACATAGGTTCCTTATTAATTACCAAGGACTATATACTATTAAGGGCCGTACTAAAATACAAGAAGGACCCCTATGTCCACTGTGACGGCTCCTCTAATAATGCCGATATTGACAGTAACTCATGTGAAGCCAGTGTGCATGTGCGCAGTCCTTGATGAGTTGGGCTTGTGTCATGGATAAGCCCATCCTCTTGCAAGTGTTCATCTATTCTTGAAGGTGCTGAAGGTCTGGATGATGACGCCGCAGCATCGCCGACTGTGTGTTCGGCACTGCGCTCACTCTGTTCGCCAGAATTCCCAGCATCACAGCTGCTGGCATTTCCAGCAGCAACTAGGCAAGAAGCCGTAGTGTGATCAGCACCTGAACAGCATGGTTTGGACCATGATCACGCAGCAAACCAGGATGGAAGAACACTTCACCAAATCACGAATGTTCACCGTCGGGCTGGACAAGCTGCATGAAGAGGAGGGCTACGGAAGGTTATCAAACCCCAGACGTAAGTCCTTGCCCACGGGTCTTCTCATTTGGGATTTAAGCTTTTACACAAACGCAAATGTCGTGAACGTGCGCGAACATGATACAAACTTTGCTGCAGCTCTCGTGAGTCGGAGGCATAGGCGAAGGAGAACTAGAAAAGTGGGAGTAGTATGGAGTGATCGAGCAGCAGCCCTTGCGTACCACCAACGCTACTACCACCAACGCTAGTCCTCCTCTGCGCTCCGTTTGCCTCCTGCTTGTGGTGTTTCTTGACTGGCTAGACCTTTTGACATCTTTTGACTATTTGTGTATCACTATACCTTCGGCAATATGCAGACGCAGGCCAAACAAAGAAAGCCTAGCAATAATGTAGCTTGAGCAATGGGCTGCAGCCCACGGATTCCACTGAGCCATTGTGCCGTATGGAATTTCACTATGTGACAACGAGCAAGGGCTTCGCGCAAGAATCTCCACATATAGACAACATGCATCACCTGATTACATGGGTATGTTGGAATCTGTGCGTGAATGCGATCTGAGCAGATATGGCGCCTCTCCATGTTGCTCCACCCAAAAACTCATGCCCCATGACCTGGCGTTGCTCCACATGGGGAGCTCTCCTGCTTGTACAAAACTCGGGCAAAACAACGAGCATGCGCAAGCCTTTTAGACTTGTTTTCTTACCCACGGCCGGCTTGGTGGTGACGGCGGCGGCAGTTCTGCTGCTGCTGATGCTGTTGGTCTTCCAAAGTCCCCAAGCTCCCCTCATGTCCGCTGATCTTGAAAGACATCTGTCCCGCATTCGAAGGGCAAGTCAGTCCTTTAGGCCTAGTAAGGTCCCCCAGTCCATGTTAGCCACGGTGGCTTTACACTCACACATGTAAAACACATTTTGAAAGTACTTCAACTACTTTTCCGAATAATTCAGAAGCAATCCGTTGCTTCACCCAAGCTGACTGCTAAGCAACACATTATACAGCACTCTCAGCACATGCCGCCCTGCCCGACAAGTCCCACAAGATCTCATCAAAAACGAGCTTGACACTTACTCGTGTTGAAAAACAGCTTGGAGAATCAGAGGAAGAAGGCAGCAACCCCATGTCATTCCAATGCAACCGGAAATCCAGACCGAGCGAGTCAACCTATTTGTTGTGGAGGGTTGAAAGTCGAGCTGTGCGGCCTCATGGTGCTTAGTATGCGCTTGCGCGCCTGCATGGCTCAGAGCAGCATATCTTGATTGCATAAGGCAGCAACTGCAGCGACAACAACAGCGGTGGAAGTTATTGCGGAATTCATTTAAGCCATTAAATCAGCACTGTGAGCAGAGGTAGGAGTAGCGAAATTGAAGAGTCTGGAGGGGGCTGGACGGGGTACGAGACAAGCTGCAGATACAATTATCAATGGCTGGGTCATTGTCAGGAGTCCACTTTGACGGCAGCCGTTGTCTGACAGTTTTGAACTTGCCCATGCATTTGCGTGGAAGGCACAGCAAGGATCGATCCACTACAAAAAAGAAAAAATCACGCGAAATTGACGGTTCCGCGGCACCTTCGCGAACTTCTGCATGACTTCTTGGCACTGAGCCTTGAGAAGCAAGCGACGCTGAGGCTTCAGCCTGCTCAGAGCAGACAGGCACCCAACTCACTTGCATGGATGCTCGACTGACGCACATCCGAACAGAACCATTTTGAGGCCTGAAGCGCGTGCTCGAGGCCTAGAGTCAGCACCGCATCGCAGGACCGTGCTCGTCGCATTTCTCGTGGACTGTCCTCCTGGTTTCTGAAGCATGGTGCAGCAATGGCGCAGTGGCTCCGCTGAGGAGGCACTCCTCGACCAATTCGAAGAAAGAATTCTTGACCACTAGATGTATTCCGCGTCCGCTTCCGCTCTGCAGTTCCCCAAGGTCTGCAAGCCTTCCACAAGCCACACACACTAGTGGCCATCAAACACTGATGGTCTGGGTCCCAAGCTGCACTATTCTATGTTCGCTTGGAGAAACTTCTTGGAAGATCTCCTCCACTAATAAGCCTGGAGCCTGCGGTGGTTAAGTTCACTCACCGCAGCAGGCTGTAGGCTCTGCCAGACTGGCCTGTCCAACTTCCTCGAGATTACTTCGAACCTCCTGCATGGCGCACATGTTGCATGCTGCAAAGCTGGATGCGTGCCAAGCCTCGGTAGCATCATCAGGCTGCCGACCCAAGATGTACACAAACACATGACCTGTGGATGGCGCAGCATCTGCGACACATATGCGCTCTCAGATACCAGAAATGCAAGGTGGTAGCATTGCGGCTTTAAGGCTCACACTGTCTAGGAGCCGTCCTAGCCTGTCACCCAGCAGTTTTTCACATCCCCGTCGCCTTGGTACAGAAATCTGTCTGTAACTTTCAAGAGCTCTCGCTCAGGCAAGTCCCGTATTAAAAAGTTCAGCAAGTCCCGTATTAAAACGTGGCTTCAACAAAAGCCAGCCGAGAATGGCGCGCAATGTTTGCAGCACGAACAGCGACAGCTGGTCTTTCTGTAGAGCCTTCATCTGTGAGTTCCTTCTGCTTCTCCTACGCACGCCCGGCAGCCAAAAAGCAAATGTGAATGCAAAGCACGGACTGAGAGAACACGTGCACCTGAGCCCAGCTGTGAAGACCACGAAGCGTCTGCCAGAGCTCTTGCACCCGGAGGAGCTGTAGAATTGAAACACACGTGTCCTGCAAATGCGTGCGCCATCCGATGTCAGTCTACAATTCTACAGCAATTTGATGGCGTGCCAATGGCGCCTGCACGCCAATTATTGTCACCTTGACGGTGCGAGATCTGGTCAGCGGCATAGCGAAAGACTGAAAGACCTTGCCGGAGAGGAAGCGGATCAAATTGCGGCATGTGTCCACATGCGATGGCTCCAAGCGTAAAGAGTCTCCTGAACGCCAAGGTGACCACCTGTGCGGACAGAACGCGGGGTACCTGCAAAAAGCCGGCTCTTCTGTCGTGTTCACCTCGGCATCCGGCTGGCTGACCCACAAAAGAATTTTCAGAAACTCGACTCTGGGCTTTCAGACTCTCACATTCATCATCCTCCTTGATTGCAGCCACCTTAGCTCTGTTGAGCATTGCGATCGGACGTAAATGTAAAATAGTCAAGACCAAGGCGTGATGATCTTGGCCCTCTGTATCCGCTAGCTGCAACAGCAAGTCCAAGACTGCCTGACGGAAGAGCTGAGGCACAAAGACTCACGCCTGCATTGCCGATGCCATCCGATGCCTCAGTCCTCTCCAAGAGGCCCAGCCCAATGGCGAGGACGTTGCCCTCGTAAGTAGCACGTCTGCTTTCTCAAGAAGACGTTGGAAACTATGACATGCAGCGTGTGTGGGTGCGAATGCTTTGCTCTGCACTCGAAGACCAGACAAGTGCTTTGGATCGTGTATTTCGTGCCTGCAGCCGCTTGCGCAACGAACAAAGAATGATGATGGCGGTCCGCGAGCGGTCTGAGCTGTTTACGCATTGCCGGTTGTCAGGCCATGAAGGCGGGCCCGGGTCTGAAGGATACGAGAAGTGAAGATAGCGCCTCAGTTCAAGACATGTGCAGATGGTACATCACGCGAACTGAACCAGCCGAAGCTTCTTACCCCGCCAAGGGACGCAGGGAATCGATGTGCGCTGATCCTAGGTCTATCGTCGCCTGGACTTTGCGTGCGGGATTTACCAGCTACATCAACTTGATTGTAACACTCCAAGGTCGAGCCTCCTTCAGCCTGCCATAGAATGCAGCTTCCCGAGGCTTGTATGCCTCTCCAAATTTCGCAGCAGTTACGAGGCACGTGCTGGTAGTAGGATGCCCATTGCCGAAGCAAACGGAATCTGTGCATGAAATTGTTGCCTCTGGAGGGGGCGGCGGCGAGCTTGGAGGAGGGGGGCGCGACTGTACTTCCATGTTTGGGTTCAAACCTTGGATGAGCAGCGCTGCCCCTCACCAGATCCTTCTGCATTCCACCAAAACGTGCTATCAAAGTCTCTGCATGCAGCCAGAGTTGCGCCACAGGAGCTACAAGAGTGTAGAGAAAATGCAATCTGTGAAACAGCACATCATGTTGGCATTCGAGCTAGAAGAGCCTGCGAGGACGGATCAGTCGCTAGAGTATGACAGGTCATGTGGTCTTACATAGGCTTTTGCTCATACGCTTCAGCCTGCGGCGAAAACTTTTGTTTTGTCTCGCATGAAAATTCTTTCAAGCAGGTGCTGCTCCCGTCTTCCGCTCTCGTGGCAGGGTGCTCTGCCCTTGCCACCCTGAGCATGGAGGCCTCGTCCATCCTGCTGAAGCCGCATCATTCGCCGTGCCACGAGGCTCCGGCAGGCAGGCTCACCCAGGTGCTCTGCTCTGCAGGGCCGTGGACGAGGTGGATTCTAAGCAGCAGCAGCTTACCTTCATACTGCGCATGAACGCCGCTACCAGGCCAGGCAAGTTGAATAGATTGCCAAACACTCTTGTTTGACCGATGTAGCCAGGCTGCCTTTATGGGTGCTTCTCCAGCCAGAAGACCAGGAAGAACAACCATGAGTACCTCCCAAGAGGAATCGAGACCGCATGGCATCAAGGCTCAAAGGGCAACGCGAAAACATGCGAAAGCAGTTGCGGCGAAGCTGTTTTGAGCCGAGCTCGACTGCCTGCTTCAGCAACCGAAAGAGCTCAGCCAAGAAGCTGGTGAGACCGTCCCTGTAAGGAACTGTGAAGCGAAGATCTGGCGAAGTTTCAATTCACAACTACGGAGGTGTTGTTGGACCCAACTTCTATTATCCCACTGAACCATCTCCTTGTTCATTTGACTCCGCCTTTCTTCTTTTGCATTTCCGATCGCCGGGTAGCATCTGACACCCGGTCTGATGACTCCTTCTTACACCTGGCTGAGGAAGCGCGGAACGTATCAACGTAGGAGTAGAAACAGCCTGCTGACCCCAGCCTTTCGCGGTCTTGCTTCTGAACATCGTCCGCATCTTCTTCTGGAGCAGCACTGGGGCCCTGCGAACTCAAGCTGCTGGCACCCAAACCTACTCTCCAAGCTCTGCCATTCTGCGCAGTCCTGACGCGATGGAGGCCGACCAGCATCGAGAGAAGCCGGCACGCGACAATTGACCTACCAGTATGCTTTGAAAAACGAAGCGCTTTGACTTTGCAAGTCGCTCCCTGCTCTTTGCGAATTGAAACCCAAAGACAGCAGGACTGCCAGGCAGTGGCTGGGGCGCAAGCTTTCAAGAAGTCCTTGTCTGCCAAGAGCCGGCGTGCCTTCACGTTTCAGGCTCGTTCATACTTGGCCAGAACAGACACGATACAATAGCAGTCGCAGCAGCAATCCTCATGGTACTCCTTGCTCGCAACCTGCGACATGTTCTTCCGCTGCACCTGCTTAGGTCTCGCCATCTGTCCAAACAAGAGTCGATCACTAGCAAAGCTAAACGGTCAGGTCTCCAAAGCCCGGCATCGCCTTCCCGGAGGAGATGAGTTGAGCAATGTTCTGAATGAACTTGTCAACAGCACGTTGCATTTGCTGGTAAAACACCTTAGCGGTTGAAGGTTTTCTAGACGGCGTCATGCTTTCGGGCCTTTTTGCACTCAGGATTTGGCGGGAAGATCTGATGCCTTCTCGACTCGGACGCAATCCTCGTCAAAGTGGTTACTACAAGACTGCCCTCAGTCCGCTTCATACCACGCGGGCCTCAAACATTGACAAAGATCTGCCCATCCGATTGGCCCAGCGCTTCATGTGTTCCACCTCGTCAAGTGGAGTCGGCAAGGCATCAAAGCAGATTTTGGAAATGGAGGAACTCAAGCCCACTATGACCATGGAGCTGCGCAGATCTTCCGGACGTCATGCTGCGGGATGGTTGAAGACTGATGCTGGCCTGTAAAGTACTTTGCTGGAGCTTCTCTCGACTTTGTTCATGCTCCTGCGCAGTAAAGGTATATAACATGTTGCATTCTGGCAGCCTCCAACAACACGCTCAAGCTTGAAGTCACTCCTTTTGGAAGAGGTTGAGCTTTGCTTCGTGCTCCTCCACCTTGATGCAAGGGCCAGAAATCTTACGGATACTGGCTGAGGCATGTAGGGCGAACAGCGCAACTCTTTTTCCAAGCCTCCAGGTAAATGGCACGGGATTTGCCAGACGTGTCCGTATCAAAGGTCACGCCTCATTATAGTCATGAGGGTCAAAATTGACGCTGCACAAACAAGCTGCAAGAAAAGTCTGAGCGCAGTCACCATCTGTATCGCGCTTAAACCGCTCAAATTGCTCCCGCAGGTTGTCCAAGCGGACCTGGAGGCAGGAACATGAAGCAGAAATTTGCTGTGATCTGAACACAGCTTTTCACTTAGCTTGGAAGTGGCAAGCTGGTTAAGCTCCTGGCTTCTGCTTCTTTAACTGAGCTTTTGAGCTGCTCATGTTCCACGTCCCTGTTCAGGAACCTGCGCGAGTCTGAAAAGGAACGCTGGAACCGTACATACCTGCCGGAATGACCGAACAACATGGCGTTCTGGCACATGCTCCGCCAACCACTGCTATTTCTCTTTCACGCGGCAAGGAGCTTGTGGACGATGTCCATGACGTCCGCCAGGCCAGTCACCTGAGCAAACTTGGGTTGTCTTCGACTGCGAGGGTGTCATGTGCATTAGGGCCAGGTGTTCACCTTAACGCTTCCCAGCAAGCCCACCGTACTTTGTTGGGTTGAGGTGAAAGGGGCATAAATCTGAGGGCTGGTTCGGAAATGCCTCGCGAATCTTCTGGAACCCGTCCTCCGTGTTCTGTGAGCGCTCCACCTTGATGCATGATTGACATTGCTGTTCTCTCCATTTGGGCACGGCAACTGCACCATCTCCCAGAAGTGGCACCTGCTCAAAGGTCACCTTTTGCAAGCAGTTGCCTGCAAGCTTTTCGACCTGCAAACCCGACAGAAGAGCAAGGTCTTCAGATTCAACTAGTGGGTTGTCCCAACTGCTCTTACCGATCCCACAGCCAAACATTAAACAGGTCTGCTGTGCCGCGTAGAGTTTGCGAAGGCGGCCGGCAGAGGCATTGAAGGCTTCATTGGCCGCATCAAGAGCGACCTCTGCAAACGATGCAGCCAGCACAAGCAATCAAACGCAATCAAAGGCCACCTCGTGGCGCCAGAACTCGAATTTTGCTCTGCGCTCCTTTGCCTCAATCTTCGCCTGAAGTCACGTTGGTCGAATTACCAAAGATGATTTCCATGTATCCCCGCTGAACCAGCAGCACCACCCATTGAAGTGCCAGCCTGCAAGCAAGAATTCATCTTGGCCAAGGCTTCATCGCGCACCTTGGTAGTTTGCTTTGGCATCAGTTTTCATGTCCAGCCAAGAGAGGCAAGGTACCACTCGCTCATGCTCAACATCCTGTTCCAGGATGTCCAAGTCCTGGCAGAGCTGCCGCTGAAAGAGGGAAACCGGCTTGCTTTTAAGGAACTTAAGCTAAGCTACTACAATGTGGAAACCCTACTGTTTACAGTTTACCCACATCATATTAACTTTTTGAGTTCTTTAACAGCAACCCAGGAAAAGCAGTGGGCGATCATCCCAGCTGGCAGTCCTGCGAGCACTGGGCGCCTTTTCTGACGAGACGTTCCTGTACCGCCACCTGCACGACAAACAGGAATTTGCAGGTCCTTACTGTTTGTGCTGGAGATGTTGCTAATGACGTTTTTCGTATTCTTTCTAGTTCGAACTACTGTTCACATTCTTATTGCTAGTGCTAATGTTCAAACTCTTGTTATTGTAGCCACCATATGATTGTTGTCATATATACTCCCTATACAGTATATTCCCTTATTCCCCACGTACCATCAGCATTGTAATTTACATGCTTGTAACCCCCACGCCTACAAACCTAAACCCCTAAAACCCTGAACCTCTAAACCCCTTAACCCTATTGACAGTACCTTTTATGATTGTCCCTACCTGACCCTATATGACCGTTTCAAACACTATATACGTATATATATATATATACACATATATTCCCTCATTCCCTACTACATGAGCGCCATAATTCAAACTCCTAGTATCCCCCTCCCCTATATATGTCCCCTATATAAACCCTCTATGACCTAAGGGGTTGAGACTACGGCTCCTAAACCCTAAACCTTGAACCTCAAACCCTAAACCTTATGAACCCTATAAACCCTATAAACCCTACAAACCCTATAAACCCTATAAACCCTACAAACCCTATAAACCCTACAAACCCTAATAACCCTATAAACCCTGAAACCTACTATGGCTGGGTAGCTGTTAGCTTTTCGACCGAGGCTGGGCCTTCCTCTGGGACTCAGCAGTCTTTCGCTGCAAATGTGCCTGTCACAACCACACGTGAGTACTGCGGTGGTGATATAATAAGCAGAAGTGCGAATAACACCGACAATAATATGAATGGTATATAATAGTAAAACTAAACCTAGAAACACTAAGAATAAGAATGGGAAAATATAATTAACAACAGCAGTAATAACAATAGAATAAATAGTACACAGGAGCTCAGAAACATGCGCTCAGCAGGGCCGAAAGCAGTAGTATGACAATATGACATGAATAATGACATTAATGACATTGATAACGACAAATATATGAAACCGAAGGGGCGCAGCATGATCTGAATTGTCCAACGGCCTCCATCATCAGAAGCTTCTCCTTCAGAAGAGACTGTTCCTTCGTGATCCTTCACTGGAATATGCATTCCGATGCTGCTGGATCCTCGAAAAGTTCTTGATTGTCATCCCTTCGCACCTTTCGCACATGTGGTTGTAGACCTTCTTGGATGTCTTGGCTTCAAGAAGTGCCTGGGGCAAAAAAATGTCTGATAGTTTTTCTGTCATTATTGCTGCTATCTCATGGCGTATCTTTTTTGAGCTATGCAAGAGGGTTCTGCGCCTTACCTTCCTACAAACTGTGGCGCCTTGCTGCTACTTTGCCCTTTCTATCTCTTGCTATCTCTTTCTCAGAATTCAGCCTTGATTTTGTCTGTCTTGTGCTGGCTACAGATGCACCTCTCCCATGACTGAGCTTCAAGACTCCTTCCCATGAACTAAAAATCGGAAGGGACACATCCATCCCCAAACGAATCCGAAAAATGTACTTAACTGTGCTAGCTCAGCATTGTGAGGCCAGCGCTCTCAAGGTATCGATGAGCTGCTTCTCTATGGCATGCCAGGAGTCCTGAAGACATATATTAATGGTAATAAGTTAGTCGTATGATTTATGCTAGGAGCATTATTAATAATAGCAGTCTAAAATTCATACTAAGCTGAATCATATCATTATCATGCCCCAAAAAGGGTGGTTCTGCAGAAGGTCGGGCATGTTCTGCCGAATTCTGTGGTGGGTTGTTTGCTTGCGCTCACTACGGTTACCCCCTTTGGATTTGCCCTGAACAGCATAGAGATGCGGATCTCTGCAAGGAGTCCTCCTTCTTGGATGACTCATCAGCCCCGTAGCCGTGAGATCTGTCCGCAACTCGAATCTGCTCTCGAAGTTTGGCAATCTCGGCCTGCCAGCTTGGGAAAGAAGGATTCTCAGGTGAGTACGGATACAAGAAAGTGCTGCAGGCCAGCTGCAATATGTGCAATGAGGCCTCTCTACGCTCGGCTTCCAAGTGAACCTGATCATATTGAGCTCGAACATCCGCAAGGATTCGCCGAACTTCCTGCATTGCATCCATCGTCACCGCATGTCTGGCCAGGTTTATCACCAAACATGATAAGCTGGAAGGGTGTGAGTGTCTGCCCCTTTCCTAGACAAGGCCAAGCGCAGAAATCCAAGACTCTATCTGTCTGTGGTAGCTGTGAACAGGCTGGTTCGACGATGTGTATAAGACTTGGGGGTACCAAAGCTCGTCGAGGGTTGGTTGATTTTTCTGTAAGTAAAGGCCTGGACCCTGCCCCAAACTGACATGGGGGAGGGTTGTGGTGTATAGAAGCTCTACCACGGTCGCAGCAGGGCCCGTTTTTCACCCAAAAAACTAGGATTCAAGTGGCCGCACCCGTTTTCACCAATTTGCTTGCGTTTCGCCTCAAAAACGGGTCCGGTTGCAGCGGGATTTGGGGGTTATCCCCCCTGTGCCCCCTTGCTTCAGATCAACAAAAGCTGGGCTGTAGACGAAAGCCCTCCTCAACTCTTACGAGATCACTTTGTCAAATTGCTGAGATTCATCAAACTTGGCAATGCTGCTAAGCAGACCTCCTTGAGCAGCAGTCAGTCCTCAACTGCCGTGTCATCGCCCGACTGGAAAGCACCCTCAGCATTCCAACAGCACATGGACAACTTAAGCCTTTTGCTAATTGCCAAGCTCCCTGCCTCAGTCCTTTCCACCAGTTTCAGAAATTCGGTGTTGCGGCTTCCGGCCAAAGATGCCTGCAAGCAAGCGCTAAAGGCAGAGCACAGCGGAGGCATGCGGAGGCGGAGGATCTGCCTTGAACCTTCTGGAAGCATTACCACTGCGAACCGCGAGCGTCCCTTCCCTCAGCAGGAAGAAGATACGCTCGTGCGAGGGTCTCATTTTGTGTGCTAAGCTCAAAGCTTCGACATTTTGAGTGATGCCTACCCCTTCTGCTTCTGCAGCTAAGAGCCGAAAGTGCAGCGCAACCAAACGACTTGAAAACGAGTGATCCTCGCTTCGGAGGACACTCCCTAAGGCAAGGCGCCCCTTTTGAAAAGAACGACCTGACTTCAACATCGGCCATGGTGATTTGACATGTTTTGGATGATGCCTGTGTCCAGGGATTCCAAGAATTCTGCTTGACTTTAGCAAGAAAGATTTGCCACGGACATCAGAAGCACTCCTACTGAGGGATGCTGGATGGGAAAGCAGATCATCCGGCTTGGGTTGCCAAGAAAGAATCTGTGGCACGTGGCCAGCAGGTGCAGCGCGAAAGATCTTCGCAAGCAAGTCGACTTCACCAAGAGCGTTACCAGCCTCAGCAGACGTGTCTTCGGACTTGCTCTTACCGTTTACACTTGCATCACTTCCACGCCTCATGAGGGGCACATCCAGCCACGTCCAGCAACTCATGGCAGAAGACGGTACCTACAGGATTGCTGCTTATGCTAAGCTGCTGACAAGATGGCACATGGCTGACAGAGCCTGCAGTCCCTGCAGTCCTGCATGGGGGCGCACGGCTCGTTCCAGGTCGGCTGCAGCTGCAGCACGATTCTTGCCAAGCTGAGCCTATTGCGGGTCGGAGACGGAAAGCTGAGGATGTGTAAAAAAAAATCCAATTGTGTGCAGGCCTCCAGTCGCGAGCGCTCCTGCGTACTTGACTCCAAGCGAGCACGCAAAGTCTCCACCTGCAGGCGAGTGCAAAGGTGCGGGCAGGCACATGAAGGTTTAGACAAGCTTTCCTCCGCTCTCAACTTGACCACTTCATCCACTCTGCTGGGAAGTGGCCTCACCTTGAGCTGCTCGGACAGAAAAGTCTCTCTCACACGCTACGCGGCAATCCAAAGCGCACGGCTGCAGCTGGATGGGCGATTTCTTGTGCCTCACGTGAACCGCAGGCTGTGCGCCAGCAAAACTTACACGCGTCAGGACTAGCGCCTTCGCGCGCACAACCTCCAGCTTGCGCTGGGTGTCAGAGAATGCTTTGGCTTCCTGGGCTGCGATCTCCTTGCAATTTGGCATGCAGCATGAAGCGCGCTAAGACTTGCAGGGCTCCTGTGCAGAGGCAAGTTGTGAGATCAGATCCTGTAAGAAATTGCGGTGCGCCATCACAGGAGGACGTTACGGGCTGATGCAAGGAAATCGTGCCAGGGAAGCTCGCTCTTGGTGCCGCTGCTGCTCGACACGGCCCATGATGTCTTCCGAGCTCCGCATCAGCTCAGCAAGCATGGCTTCCAAGTCCTGACGACCCCAACAGAAGCTGGCAAGTTCTGAAACGTGACATGCCTGGCACAAGTCAGTCACGCATGTCACCAACGCAATGGGAGACGGGCGGATGCAAATTAAAGCTAGCACCCGCTGGTTTGCTATATCTAACTTTATAAGGAGGAAAGCAATGCGCACGTGCACACAGTGACTGCTGAAGGTAAGTCGGCTCGACCCCCCTTAATCCGAGAAAGCCTTGAAATCATGCGCGTACTGTATCACCAGCTGCTCTGTAAGCTTACCCTCCCCTCCCGCCCAATCACCTCACCAGGCAAAAAGGTCGCTGGGACACCAGCTAAACCAAATTCTGTTTCCTTGCGTTTTATAGGCCAATCTCAGAATTGCAGCTAGCCAGGAGGATGTCTTTCAAGCCGACCTGTTGAAACGAAAGAAGGTGCCCTGCCTGAATCGCACGTTTCTCATCAGCATGTTCCTGCACAGTGACAAGGAAGGTAATTCCAAGCCCTTCCTCTTAGCCACGCAAGCCTTTGGCGTTCCTGCTGCTGGACTGCCAGTTGGGAACGGCTTAACCTGTTCTGAGCGGCATGCCATGCGCTATCAGTGCAGGATGAACTAGAGCACCTTGTCAGCTGGAGGGGCTCTCCCTTTCAGCTCACCAATTGCCTGTTCCACTTCCTGACGCCATAGAAAATACATCCACGGGTTTAATATTCAACTCACCCTTCCCTCGTGCAAGACGCGCAGCTCCTTGGGCACGGACTCCAGGCCAAGTGACGCAAGCTTCATGCTTGCCTGAGAGGTTGTGCTTGCCAAGTTGACTAGCAAAAGGGCGAAGTGCAACCTCTAACGTAGCTTAAATTTGACTAATTGCTCGGTATGATTAGACTCTGCATCAGCCTCTAAGAGGCCAGTCCAAACCCACCGCCTCCCCCACCCCCCTCTTATCTTCCAGGCTGACGCATCTGACGCATCCTCGCTGGCGAATTCCTGAAACTCCCAACCCTAAAACGCGGAGGTGGGGAGGTAGGGAGGATGGTGCGACTAAGCTTTCCTGGAGGAGGCTTTCCAAGAAGTCGTGGTACGAGTAACACTCGCAGTTGGTTGGGCAAGCATCGACGACGTCGGCCACAAAGTTATAGCTGCAGTTTGTGTCTAGGTGAGTCCTGCAAGGCTGGCTAAAGCGGCTAAAGCCGTGCATGAACCATGCCTGGGTTCAGATTTGCTCACAGTGCTTCCAACTCCACGGTGCGCTCTTGCCGGCGGCCCTGCTTACCTCCCGAGATTGTGGGACCAGTGATGCTTCGGCTTCCTGGACTTGCACAGTGTCAACCTCGACAGAGCTTCAGTCTATCATGATGCAAATTGAGCTTCGATGCCTAAGGCACATGCAAGGTGCTGGAGTTCCCTGAGGGTCCCCAATTCACGGCTCCACGTGGCAGCGGCTGCAAGTTGCTTGTTACTCTCAATGATTCCAACCCTTTCCATGACCTGTTTGAATCTTTCCGCAACAAGTGACAGCTGTGGGAGTTGATCCTATGCAGCTGACGCCAATGGAACCTTGAACCCAATTAATCACTCAAATCGGTCCAAAGCGATTTCGCTTCAGTGCATTCTCGACTTGCTCGTTTCACTGTTGGCGGCATGAGGGTGAGGCTCTTGAGTCCGGCCCTGTCGCCATGGTCCTGTGCATACATGTGCAGTCAAAGCTATGACTTTGGGTGGGAGTCCACGTGGTCGACCCGACAACATTGGAACTCTGTTTCTCCCACTGCCCCTCCCACAGACGGACGCAGCTTTGACGTTTTTGGGGGGTCTGCGGGCCCCTTGAAGAGCATGCGGTGAGCTCATGCTCCCTTGTCATCATCGAGGCTTACCCTCAATGGCCAATATCAGGACATCACGAGCTCCTGCGTTTCATGAAGCTAGCTCCAAACCGGTCTTGTGCCCAAGCTCAAAATCAAAGAGATCTGACGAAATGAAGCCCCAATCATGCTGATGATGTTGGCCTGGGCCAGCGCTTTCTCACCCTCCAAACGTTTACCCTGCTGTGCGGCTTGATGGACAAAAGCTGTAAGGGTTTCATGCGAGTTTATGATCTCTTCATCCGATTGTTAATGACAGGTTCATGAAAAGCTGTTGATGGGTTTCTGGTGTACGATGGCTTGATGCAGGTTCTTTGCAGGGGGTTGATGATGGCTTTAGCGTCCAAGGCCTATGATGGTTTATGATGTCTCTTTTATGGTCTTTTGGGTTATTCGTACTTGAGGGTGTGCTAGCGTACTGTTGAATCTATTCGGCTTGGGTCAATCCAAAGGTGGTCTAGGCAGAGTTTCATCTGGATTTGAGCTGCTGAAAGCAGCTTCAAAAGCAGCATACTGGGTGGAAATGGGTGCATCATCAGCACAATAAGGCTTCCATTTTCGTCCTACCATCCCTAGTACGGCTACTGTTCCACTAGCCCTACTTCCCACTCCCTTTTGTGTTACTCTCGCTCTGGCTGCGACTACTCTGAAGGCGACAAACTGGCCCGTGCCCAAAACATGCAAGATTCCGGCTGCCTTCGACTTCCAGAAGTGCAGCTGCTGTAACAGGTGCTCGTTGGTTGCCGCAACCTGGCAGTGCTGCCGGGGCAACACCCTGAAACAGCTTTTGCAGATTGCGTGCCTGCGCATTTGCGTCTGCAAGAGCTGCCTGATGCTGCAACGACTGCGCCTTGCTGGCAAACTCAGCCAGGATCACCAGTGACACCGACACCAATGGTGGGTAGAGCTTCGAGTTGCTTTTTGTACAACCCTCGCCCTTCTCCCGTTCCAAGATCAAGCATGCTGCAAAAACTCCGATGAAGAGTGTTCCATGCCGTGGTGTCTTTCGCTTAGACTCCATGTGAAACAAGGGCAGGAACGACCTGCCTCGCGCTCGCGGAATTCTCGCAGTAGCTCCTGTCTGGAAATCTAGCGATGGACAAGTAACCTTAATGAACCTTGTGGATTAATTCTCCTGGAAGTTGACTGGCTGTCGAAGTGGGTTGGAGGCCGCCTGGCTGCACGCTCACTTGTTTCACCTCGTTGCTGTGCGCTGTACGGTGGTCAGGGCGCGCCCAGCGCTTAATGCAGGAAGCTGTTGCCTCTGCAGTAGACGTCTGCATTTGCTGGATGGAAGACTCAACCTCACATCCGGACATATCGCAGATCCAAAGCTTTCGTGAAACGGCGTGCCTCCAGCAAATTTGCCTGAAGCCTTTCGCGTTGCTCTGCTCTCTCGGCCTCGCAACATGTCACAGCATGGTTAACTAGGAGTGTGGACAGTCCTTCCTGCCACAAATCCTGCATACCCGAAACACCTCTCCTCCTTCGCATACAACTCTTCCACACGCTCCTTCAAGGCTGCCAGCCTCAGAACTGCCGCTGAAAGCAATGCTTCGTGCCGCAGTCTTTCCCCCACTCAGGCCCTTGCCTGTGTGCATCTACACACGCGTCACCTGCTCAAACAGAAGCTTTGGACTCCTTTGATGCTGTGCTTCAGCATGCCTCTGCCCTCCTTCTCACCAAGATCCTGCATGAGAAATCTCTGGCTACAGGACTCGGATACAGTAAGTCTCACACATGCAACACGCGTGTCCTTCAGGTCAGAACCCAAGCCTTCCTGCAATTGGTTCTTCAGGTCGGACAAGCCCTGCGAAAATTGAAGCTCCAAAACAGTACAACCTGACATGGACAATCAAAGAGCCTCCACAATACCCAGATCCAACTTTATTCCGCTCGCCTGAGGAGTTGGCACTTGCTACCCCACCTATAGTCCCCCTTAAGCAGATAGAATATGGCTTTGGGTATATTACAATAAGATCTATCATATATACCCCATATTCTATCTACTTAAGGGGGACCATAGACTTACACTCACCAAGATGCCCTCCGGCACTACACACAACAAGCTGAAAATCAGACATTTTATCCACACCACATCTGTGGATATCTGTGGCTCAGCATACGCCCTGACCCGCAAGCCTGAAAAACATGCAAAGATGATTGGAATGCGCTCAGAGCCTCGTTGGCCTTGCTTCCAAGAGCATCTCCCACATGCCTCCAGCAAAAATGTATTGATTCGTTTGACCGCGAAGCAACCATCAATGACTGAAAACCCAAGATTAAGTGAGTCTGGACTGAATCTTCCGAAAACTGTTATTTGGAATCAGCAGGATCAAAGGCGACAGCATCCAAAGTGTCCTCGTGAGCGTCTGCAGATCTGCTTCCGTTGCTTTCTCATCAGCGGTATCGAGCAATTCACCAACTCTTTTCAGAAGCCTGCAGCTGCTTTGGAACCAGAATAGAAGCGCTAATAAAAGTAACAACTACATCGAAGAGCATTACTAATACTAACAGCAATATCACTAATTGTACTAGTAGTAATGGTAATACTAATAGTAATATGTCTGCATGCCAAAGCCTCATCTGCGTGAGTGTAGATCCATGGCCCAGCTGGGGCGGCAGCGCCAATGTGTGCTACATCGTTCTATACAATCCCTACATAAGCCCTACATTTAATGTATCACCCCTATAATTATCTACTCCCAATAAAACACCCCACCTAGTCCACACACCCGGTATGCATGTCCAAACTGTTTTTCTGCAAGTCGCCGCATCGTGCTCTGAAGCCGAAACCCTAGTTGCCTTTGATTCCCCCACAACTCCCGCAAGCTGCTTTTTCTGGCGTTGCAGGGATATATCGAGGTTATATAGGGGAGTTAGGGTGTAGATGGGTGTAGGATTTAAGGTTTTGCAAACTTAGGGGTACCGTTTTAGAGGGCCCCATAATAGGGATATTTGGGGGTCTACACTGGGGTCCGGCTCTGGTACAGATGACAAGTTGGGCCCCCCGTGTTCATGAATTGTGTTCCCGGGGCGCTTGCCATGCCACAACATCCTGCTGCTGCTGCTGCTTCTGCTGCTGCTGCTCTGAGCCATGCTATGCTCTACCGCAGGCTACTTCAAGATTACAACTTCAATGCATGATGCTGATAGATTGTATGCCTTGAGACAGGGCCTTCCAATTTCAACACTGTCGATCCTAAGCAGTCCTAGAAGCAAAAGTAAAGCCTTTCATTTTGGATGCATTTAAGGGGGCATCGATAACTCTACAAGAACCTGCCCGCCGTGTGAGTTGACATGATTGGCCTCTAGGAATGATGAAGAACACCATCTGCTATATGAACTTCTGCGGCTAATAACCCCTGATAATCCTACAAGGCAAGAAATATGATAGTTCTGATCCGGCTGCTACAAACAATCGACTTCTGGCAACATGAAAGCCCATACACAAAACGTTGTTTCTTCATAGCCTGCATTGGCATGGCATCACGCCAGCATAAGCAGTGAGATGCATTTGCTTAAAATTGGTCAGAGCTCCTAAAGGAGGTAAGCAATACAGGGCTGCTAAAGCAATCAGAGGTTTCAGACTGCTAATGTCAGCTAAAATCATTAACATGCTCGGGATCGTGGTAGTCTGCCCAATCATCGGGGAGCATGGTGGCAAGCTCCTGGGACGAGCTGCAAGGTGCACAACTTGCTCAAGCTGCACGTGCTGCGCACAGCCTTGCCAACTTCGCAGTCCTCAAAGGAAACCTCCTGGATGTCTCGGGCAGCATTTGGCGCACTCTCCACAATGTGCCTGCGCTCAGAAATCAAGGTTGATGAGGGAGAGGAAGGGGTTGGATTGCAAAAAGCGCGACTTTGCCTCTCTATGCACTTGTAAATCTCGCAGTCCCTGTATTGGTCTCGTGTGTGCAGAAACTCCTTGAACTTGGCCAGCCTGTTGCTAACCTGCCCACAACACGTCTTCAGTGTATGACTTGCCCCGTGAAGGATACTGCCCCATTATGCATCATCGAAATTCGATCAAGCAGGCACCTCGCGGTGCATTATGCTTGGAAAGATGCAGGCAGCAGATGATGGGCGTCTGGCAACCGCGTAGGCCACCCTCACAGCTTCCAGGCTTGCCGTACCGCTCGTCCCAGGACTCCAAATAGGTGTAACAGTGAAAGAACTCCGCCAAAAAGCCAAGCGTACAGAACCTTGAACAGGGCTGCTCCATAATTCTGAAGGCTGACTGAGATGGAGCCCATGCTTTGTGTCCTCACGCATCCTCCCTCGGAACTGAGCTCGCAGCCAGCTTGGGGCTTCGGAAGGGCAATGCCCCGGAAGCTCCTTGCAAGCCGCCCTCGTTTTAGAGGCGGCGTGTAGCTGGAAAGCCTGCTGCGAACGATGCTCCATCTTAAAAGCAAGAATATTATCATTTCCACCTTCTGCCAGACTAAGGTTTCCCTAAATCCGCGCCACAACGCTCCCAGCGGCTCATCCAAAGCATCGACGAAGCTGAAATGAAGAATATTGTCTTCAACACCTCCGTGTCCAGAGCGACGGACATGCAACAGCGAATCCTGGAGCAGCTCATCATCCAGCCTTGCGGAGACAAAGCAGAGCATGCAAGCAACGCAACAAGCAAATGCCGTGTCTCGCGAGTGGTTTCGGATGCGAGAACCGAGGCCAGGACAACCCGACGTACATGTCGTCGTTGTACTCATGCTGTTGGACATACTCACGCAGAGCATCGAAGGTTTGGATGAGGCCAAAGCCAGTGCACACAGTCGCAGCCACAGCTTGTAATGTGTCATGAGTCAATCTGAAGGCCACGTCCAGGTTCCGCTTCTCGTCTCGATCCTGTACAAGCCACCCAAAACCACGCTGAAGAATTGGTGAGTGGAAAGTATGCCTGGGGAGATCAATTTCAAGCCATTTAACTCCGTCCTTCATCCAGCCACTTCCGGGCTGCTGCATCAACTCATCCAACGACTCAGCACGGTATGCACAGTGGTGACTGAAAAGCAAGGCAGACGGAAACGTGAAGTTGGACGTACTATACACCACTCCAGCTCAAACGCTAATCGCTTCACAGCTTAATGCCGCCCTTCTATGTACACTTGCTACTCGGCTTTGGTCTGAGAACGCTCTGTTCCGATGGACTGGCAGGTACTGGTGTTTGCGAATGGCTGAAAAAAAAACAAGCCCCCTCGATCATGTTGACCGCATGTTTGTTTCAGGTTTGAGCACGTTCCTTCACATTGTGACGAGTTCTCATCGTTACAGGCTGGCAGAAAAGAGCTCATTTTCACCCCGAAAGCTTGGCAGGAACTGAAACTGGGATTAACGTTGCTTGCGGATGCCACACACGAGAACTATGTGCACATTCTTGGGCGGTAGCCTGTCTCTCCCATGGAACGACCTAAAACTCTAACTAATTGAACTCGCTGAAATTTCTGCCATTGAAATTCAAGTTTTGGGAAATTAAGCTCGGAAGGGAACATCGCCACAGTGTGGGGTTCACGGTTCAAGGCTTACAGCAAGCATACGGCCGCTTGACCATTACAGCAAAGGGAATCTCAATGACGGCAGCAATGACGAAATCTACAACAATCTATTGCCCTCACCGTAATTGAATCTCATGAACGGAAGTTTCTGCGCACAATACCCAAACAGCCCACGGTTTGGCAGACAATATCCGACCTTTACGCGTTGGTGAGGATGCCAACGGATATGTTGAAATCAAAGCCCTCAACCCAGAGCCGTAGATGTTGATGAGAACCCGGAGCTTCCGGCTCAGTGGAGGCTTTGTGGGGAAGGGTTACACCCAACCTCCAACACCAACTTGTCCGAGGACAAAGGAGGCTGGCCAATCGATTCGCCAAAGGGAATCCCAGGATTGCTGCCAGGAGGTGTTGTGGGTGGGCAAGAGAAATTGCACCAACAGCGCCTCATCGCCAACAACGGTGTGTAGACTTTCTGCGCCCTTGGAGCAATATACCCCACCAAATCGCGCTGCGACGACAACCCCAGTCTTTGAGACCCCTGGCTCGGAACATCCTGGAACACACAGGACCAATCAGAACTGCGGAGTCGAAATAAACGTTTTTGTAAAGCCGGGGTTCCCAGCAAGATGCTCATGTGTGGACATGCTAAAGCCCAGCCCAACGCAAATCACGTTTTGGGGTGTGTTGGGCAAGGTGGGCAAATGCCCCGCCAGTTCCTCGCTATGCCTGCTGGCGTACGCAGAATTTCGCATGGACTTGTTGGCTGTTGGTGGAGTTGGCTGAGCAATGAATCTGGCAGGTTGGCAAGCTTGGCCCGCAAAGGTCCGAAGGGCACAAGCCGTATTTGATGCTGACACCTCGCGGGTTCGCGACCTGACATGAACACTCGTCCGCTTGCGCGACTGGGACACGTTGACGTCGGTGCCCACCTTAGAACCGCATGCTATGCAGTTGGCATTCCGCCGTCGTTTACACCCCCCTTTGCAATCTCCACTCAGGAGGCCGTAGCGCACCCCAGACATGCAAGCCCCGCACACCCTGGACAGCTGGCCCTTGGACACTTCACGCCAGACTGCAGCAACCATGCAAAAATTTGGATTTGTTCGATGAACATCATATTACAGCAATTCCCCGCTGACCCGGGACCATCTACACAACCCGGCCGCTTAAAACGAAATTTGCCGCGTTTAGTGGACGAACATCATGGCATTGAAATCGCGCACCATCCACACCCACACAGAGCTCTGCGCGTTGCACATCCAAGTCGGAGACCACGATCCTTGCAAGACAGGAAGGATCGCGGCGCGGAAAACGCATGCGCTGTACAACTATGAAATACACATCCTTTAAATCATTGGCAGGCGATCTAGAAGGCAATCCAATCCTTTGCCGAAGCGAACATAAGATTGTTGCTGCACGGGAAAGATTGGCACACATTCGACCAGTGTGGCATCGGCCACTGGTGAAACACTGATTGTGTGTGTGTGTTTTGCATGATTGTTTGCACGGGCCTTTCCCGTAACCAAGTTCAGCACGGTCCCAGCGCAAAGCCCGGCACGAGGGGGCGGCTGGCAGATCCTTGCACGTCCATCGCGCGCCAGTTTGCTCAGTCTCCACGGTTTTTGCATGCGCTCGCGGGACCCGCCCGCTTGCTGGAAGACCGAAAGGCCAAAGAACCTCTGAAGATTTAGCCTTCAGGTTGGATTTTTGTCCACCGAAATAAGGGTGGCCACCACGTCATGTTCTTGAAGGGAGAGCGAGAGCTGTAGTTGTTCCGTGATTAGGAGACATGTGTACATGATGGAGTTGGAGCGAAACCAGCTCCATGGTGCGTAGAACAAAAGCAAAGCCAATGAAGACCTGAATTGCCAAGTCAGGGTGGTTAACGTGTACAGCCACAGCGTCCACGGCCTTGGCACCCAATAAAAAAAGAGATGGTCGATTTTTTGACGAAGAAGAATTCGTCGTCAGTTTATTAGAAACAGCTGCGCGGCGGCGAGGTGATAACGTCATCTTAGACAAAATCTTCAGAACCCCCTGGATTCGCTGGTCATCTTCCCCGCCGGTGAAACAAAATCACGCTCCTGGTACAAGTGGCTGATATACTTCGTCAGCTGCTCATCAAGATGCAGCACCTTCTTTGGAAGCCTGCCTTCAGGGCACGAATATAGTAAAAAAACGAACAGCGCCTTTCCATAGCATCGTCTTGTCTTGTTGGGGATCTCAACTGATCATTTCTGCTCAAAATTCCTTGTTGTTCCATGAGACAAATTCTGTGTCGAGATGGTCCAAGCGGTGATGTTCAAAACAAAAATATTTACTTCGAGCATCCCNNAGTGTATATAACGTTTCCCTGCCCCCCGTCAACTGTCTTCCTTGCAGCACTGCAAATGCGCTGCAAGAATATTGATACTCTGCAGTTGGGCACTGCAGACATACTTGGTGGTTGGGCACTGCAGGGATACTTGGTGGTTGGGCACTGCAGGGATACTTAGTGGTAGAGCTCTGCAGGGATACTTTGCAATTGGGCAGTATAAGGATACTCTGCGGTTGGGCACTGCAGACATACTTGGTGGTTGGGCACTGCAGGGATACGTGGTGGTTGGGCACTGCAGGGATACTTGGTGGTTGGGCAGTGTAAGGATACTCTGCGGTTGGGCACTGCAGGGATACTCTGCGGTTGGGCACTGCAGGGATACTCTGCGGTTGGGCGCTACAGGGATACTTTGCGGTTGGGCACTGCAGGGATACT